CCAGTGCCCCCCGGCCACCCCCGCACCTTCTTGAAGCGAACTTTGAGGTTTCCCTGGCCGAGCTGCGAGTCGTGGGCAAAGGCCTCGTAGATGAGTAGCTCTTGGTCCACATGCACCTGGGGATGGTGTCGGGTCATCAGGGGCCTGGACAGCGCAGGCCCAGGATGGGGGCCGGGGGCCCTGCCTGTGCTCACCAGCAGGTAGGGCCGGCTCTGGCGACTCCCGAGCGCCACGGGCTGGCCGAACGAGCTGTCCACCAGCACCCGCTGCCCCACCGGGAAGTTCTTCACCAGGAACACCAGCCGCCAGTCAGGGAGCTGGTAGATCTGAGGGGACGGGTGCTTAGTGGAGGCAGGATGGGGAGGGGCGGCTGCGTGGGCACAGGGCGCCACCCACCTCCATGGTTCCGTTCTCCCGCACCAGCAGGCACCAGTGTGTGGGCTCAGCCCGGAAGGGGGTGGGGTCCCGGTCGGTGGGAGGCTGGCTGCTCCTGCGCGCCTCCTCCTTGCAGGGGCTGAAGAGGGAGCCCGAGTCCCCGTACAGCATCTCCTCCTCGTCATCCACTGTGGGGCTGGGGAGCACATGCGTGTATCAGGGGTGGCCTGCCCCGGGGACCCCAGCCCCGAGGACCCCAGCCCCCCCACACACCTGGTCTCTGAGCCTGGGCCCTCTGCCTCGGAGCCGCTGCGCCCCCCAAGCTCATCGCGGGCCCCGCCCAGGCGGCTCTCGGTGGTGAACATGCCACTGACGTCACGGTACACACACATGGCGATGACCTTGGACTGCTGTGGGGGGAGGGGGCTCAGTGGTCCAGGAGGGGCGGGGATAGCGGTTGGGGACAAGGGGTCCGGGGGTGAAGGGGCCTACATGGTGCAGCGGCGGCTTGTGCAGAGCCAGGCGGTGGTGGCGGCCCCCATAGGAGTCGCTCTTGAGCAGGAACATGGTGACGTGGCCCTCGGAGCTCATGATGACCACGTAGGGGTCAGCCACGGCGCACTGCACGATGGGGGAGCCCAGGTCCACAGGGATGAAGTGCAGCTGGTTCACTGCAGACACAGGCCAGTCAGTACACCCTGCCCCCGCTCGCCGGCCCACCTGCCCACCGGCCAGGCCCACCTCCTTCCAGCAGGCGGATGCCGAGCGGTGACACTTGCACGATGTAGCGATTGTCGCCGATGTTGCCGGCAAAGACTGTGGGACCCTGTGTGGCAAAGCCACTGGTGTCCAGCTCCATGATCTCCTGCCCAGTCTGCAGGATCTGTGGGCAACGGTGGTGAGGCACACCCCTGGCAGGGGGCCCCACCCCAGCACCCCTTTGCCAGGCCCCTCACCATGGTGGAGTCCTCCCGGCTCAGAATCAGGAACCCGTGTCTCCGCCCGTCGTCCTCTGTGTCAGGGGTGCTGGGCTCCTGCTCCGCGCCCTCGCCCTGAGGGGTCTCCTCCTGTGACGGGAGAGCAGGCAGAGCACACACCTCACCACCCAGCCCCACAGCCGAGCCAGAGCACGTTCTGACGCATCTGCTGGGACCTGCACAGCAGGGCCTGCCTCAGCCTCCTCGTCCTCATAGAGGCAGCACCGGTCATCGCCCCACGGGCCTTCTTGCAGCCTGGGGTGCACGCACCTGCTCCTTGCGCACAGGGGCAACCACTGTCCACATGTCATAGCAGCCAGGAAGTTCAAAGGTCGTCACCACCTGGGGCCGGATGCTCTTCTGGAAAGACAATGGGGTGCAACTGTCCACCCAGGTCCCCAGGAGGCCCCACCCTGGCCTGCCCCCCACACACCTGCAGCACGGACAGGGCCCCGTTCTTGCCGTAGCCAGAGCACATCACGATCTCCAGGTCCGGCTCGGGGCTGTTCTGAAACTGTAGGGGCCGAGGTGAGGACAGGGCCCCCAGGCAAGCCACCCGCCCACCTGCACACCGCCCCCACCCGCCTTCCCAAACCGGGCACCTCTTCAGACAGGAAGGCGGGCTCGCCCATGGCCGCATTGGCACAGGGTCCAATGTTGAGGATGCTGTCACACACCTGAGGGCAGAGCAGTGGTCAGGCGGGTGGGCCCGCCAGGGTGGGGCCCCTTCTGGGCACAACCTCACCTCAAAGGAGTAAGTGGCCAGTTGTGTGCCCGACTGGGCCTCGCTGCCGTACACCTCGATCTCGTCCACCTCGTCCTGCGGCCCGGACTGGCCACCTGCGGCACACGGAGCTCTGAGATGCCCTGTTCTCTGGCCCCAGCACCGGCCCTGCCCCCTGCCCTCTCACCCCTCACCTGACCAGCCCACTGTGGAGTCCACTCGCTTCTTCTTTGACAAAGGCTCTTCCTGTGAGGCAGGAGGGCGGTGAGCAGCCCTGGGGACACCCTGCACAGGGGCAGAGTCCCCACAGACACCCCCGGCACCCACCTTGTCAGCAGCCTCCCGGACAGCACTGGCCGGGGCCTCCTGCAGCTTCTCCGTGTACTTGAGAAGGAGGGAGTTGCCCAGGCGAGAGCCAAGGAACAGGTACCCAGGCTCCATGGTGACCATCTGAGAGAGGGGGCGGGGCAGTGGTGAGGGGGGCTGGACCCAGACCCAGACCCAGACCCAAGCCTGCCCGCAGCGCCCACTCACACTGCTGGTGAGCACGCTGGCGGCGGCCTTGTCGAAGTGGAAGGCACGGACGCTGCGCATCCCATCGGTGATGAGGGTCAGCACGTAGCTGTGGGAGGGGGACGCTGAGCTGGGCAAGGCTCCCAGGGTGGGGGCGGATGGGACGACGAAACTGGGGGTACAGGGCTCCCTGAAGGGGGACTCACATCTCTCCGCCCTTGAGGGAGATGACCATCTTGTCGTAGGAGATGAAGGCCGCCTGGGCACAGTCAAGAGTGATCCGCACGCCCTCCTGGGTGCCTGTTGAGGCGGGGGAGGGGTGTCAGGGACCCAGCAGCCCGCCCC